CGATACCGCGTCAATATATCAACATATAAAAATATGGCAAAAGTTCATGAATTTTCGGGGTATTTCGTAGCATAACAATGATATATAGCAATATTTCATTAGTAAATGAGATTGCTATGGTGTTTTTAAATGGCAATATATCAGCATATGAAGATATTGTGATATTTTAATGTATCAATATTTTTTCCCTTCGTCTTTAGAAGGTTTTAAGTCTGTAAAAAAGAAGTTTTTGAGGAAGAAGAAGAAGTAGTATTTTTTTTTTTTAGACTTTAGAAACTCAGAAGCTGATCAAATATCGGGTTAAATATCGGTGGGGTGGCCGATGTCCGATATTCAGTTTTAAGGCTGATAAAGGCCGATACCGATAGGGGGCCGATTATATTGTGCATCCCTAGTAAAAAGTAAGAACACTATCCAAGGTAGGCAAAGAGATCTGAACAACTTTGCTGAATCCAGGCAGCCTTACAGACCTCATTGTGCAGCAGATGCCTTAGATGACGGTTAAAAGGACACAGGTTTTTAAAAATGTTCAACTTCTAATACCTAAACCGGTGTGCATTTGAATTCAACCCAACAGTGATTCCTTCAATCAGATCTGGTGCAAAAAGATGTATTCAGAGAACATCCAATTACAAAATAGAGTGAGCCTGTGTAAACAGAATGGCTAAAATGAAAACCTAAAAAGACAGGGACATTAAAAAACAGCAAGGGGATTTAAAACATTAATCAAAGAAGCAGCAAAGATGCATCATGACTATCTATAAGGAGCTGCAGATATCCACAGCTTAAACAGGAGATTTTGTTGACAGAACATTTGCTAGTTCGGCACCCAGAGGAAAGGTGGCAAGAAGCCACTGTTGAAAGAAAGCCAAAATAAGTACTGTTTAAAGATTCCTACTAGCAATACAGGGGAGATGATAAATATGTGGAGGAAAAAGAATTCCACATATTTGGTCAGCTGAAATGGTTGGCCTATATGCAGATACATGTGGTGGAGAATTAACACAGTGTATCACTGTAAACTACCACCCCTACACTAAAATATGTATTATGCCTTGAGGATGTTTCTTTCTACACGAGGGAAAGAGAAGCTGTTCAGAGTTGATGGGAACATGAATGGGAGATAATAAGAAAAATACTTTTAGTGGTTGCACAACAGTTATGACTGGATTTTATGTTTGCTCACCAACGGGAAAACAACACCAAACAGTAATATGACTTTGTATATCATGTGTAAATCATGTGTTCTAAGTCAAATTGGGAATCTGTAGCAGAATTTGAAAAATTATATTCTCAGTTGCTCTGCTCTTCATCCAGTCTGACTGGACATTTTAGATGCGCTTAAAGTTTAATCACTAGTTAGGAGAACTGGCATAGACAAAAGTACTTTAGCTTTACCTAAAGACAAACCATGTACTTTTTTTTCAGGTTTTTTCATTGTCATTACACTGTCATAAGTACAGAGCAACAAAAAGAACTTTCTACATTTAACCCATCCTCTTGGGGAGCAGTGTGCTGCCATTGTGCAGTGTGGGGTTAAGGGTTTTGCTCAGGGACCCAGAGTGGCAGTCTGTGGGAGTGGGGCTTAAACTCAGAACCTCTGGATTCCAAGCGCAATGCCCCTAACCACTAGGCCGTCACTCCCATGTGGCCACCCAATTCCAAATAATAACCAACAATTTTGTATTTGAATTTTGTAGATATAAAAAAGTAAAATGTTGTAATTTTCAGTACATGCAACTGGCGACTGTTCAGCCCTCTCCCCGGGGGAAGGGAAACAACTGTTTGAAGCTCTCCCCCTGGGGTCTCGGGTTCTGTCTGTGGGATCCGGGTGCGCTGACAATATTAGCAAGCTTGATCTAAGAGTGTGATCAAAGCTGGTTCATTCTGCCTGACCGATTTCTACAGGATTAAGGATTAGGGAGATGGGAAGCTGGGAGAGAAGCAACCCTGAGGAGACTAAAAGGGATGGTGAAGGTTACGACTGAATCAGAAAGGGATAGAGAAATCTTGAGGAGGACGCAGGGGTCAAAAGAGAGTAACATAGGCCGCTTTGAGAAAGAAGTGGAAGCAAAAGTAAGTGCTGCTTAATTGTATCCTTAGGTTATTTAACAGACAAGGCTTTGCGGCTGCTGAAGTCTGACACATAGCTTCAGGAATCCCCCTGCTGTGCTTTAATAATAAAATAAGTTCAGCAGCTCATAGGTACTCCGTGTTTAATAACTTAATGGGGTTGAATTTGCTTTCATTTACAAGCTGCTTTAGTTTTACAGAGAGGAACAGCTGAACAGCTAACATAAACGAGGTCTGTGTTTACTTTCATATAAAGTATCTTTGAAGTTTTGTGATATGAGTAGTTTTCAGACTCGTCTCACAGTCATAGGAAATGTTCATTGATGGGTGGAAAGTGACCTTTAATGTAAACGACCAAAAATAAAAGTCAGAGGCCTGTTTACCAAACATTAGAGGAGTTTTGAGAACCTTTCAAGGCAAAAACTGGTTTTCAAAGGCCAAACTCAGTTGTCAGTTTATTATACTGAAAGAAAAAAATAAAAAGTGATAGATAGTACTAGGAGTCAGTCACTGTGGTTGACTCCTAGCACTATCTACCAAAGGTTTGGCATAAACTTTATTTCCTCCGCTCTGTGTTCTTCTTTGCTTGAGAGTTGACTTTCAAACTATTTCAGAATCCAAAATTTGTTTTCAGCAGAGAGCCTGTACCTGACAGGTGAGAGCAGTCTAATTTTTTGCATCAACAAGATCTATCACTTTCTTGGTTAATGATAAGAAGCCACACCTTAATTACATCCTGTTATATATATTTATTTGTCAAGAAAATCATCAGTTTTCACCCTCTAGTGTTTCAAACAAGAAATTGGGAGCCATGTATATTATAGGGCAATATTTTAAAGAAGCTATGCTGCAAAGACTAACTCAAAAAGGTGCCTTTTAAAATCACATATGTGCATTAAAAAAACAAGATAAATGGCAACTAAGATTTATTTGTTTAATATTGTCAAAATGTTTTGTTTTTTAGCAAAGAAACTTGATGAAATCTGTGATTTAACATAATTAAATGGAATATTGCCTTTATGTGTGCTTGTGAAGTATCCAGCTAAAATACTCCTGAACAAAATGTAAAATAGATATGTTTTTCTTATTAAGTGCCTTAAGTGGTCATTAGGCACTATACATCAATAAAATCAGTCAATAAAAAATACTTTATTAATTCCAAATGGTAATGTAAATGTTTCAACTCATTTTATTGGGGTTTCTTAAATAAGTTGTTGTGAATGTAAACAGCACATTAATAACGACATATGCAGTGTCTTGCAGCAAAAACGTAAGGGGTTATGTTTGTTTATTATTTAACTATTCTCTATTATGTTATTCTTATACACTTTTCTAAGGTCCAGATTTCTGTGACCATTGTTTTTTTCTGTAATTGTTTTACTGCTGTAAACACCAGAATTTATTTCCCTCATTGTGGGACAATACAGGGATTTTTTATTCTATTCTATTTTCTATTCTATACTAGATGAAATAAACTGACAATTTCTACATGACTAGCTACTGACAATAAAACCAGTCAAGCAAAATAGCAGCTCGACCCCTCACCCATTTGCAGTTAAATATACACAAACATACCTGTACTATAAACAAAATGTTATCATACCTACAACTCAGAAACTGTGCAAAGTGGATAGCTACCTTTCATGTCCAAGTATAAATTCCCACCTAATGATTTCCCCTCCGATCTTTGAGGCACCTCGTCCAAGGTCTGACGTTCCAAAGAGAAATGTCAACAACTAAAGACACTAAGTTGACAAAGCTAGGTCATATAGGGTAAATGCTTCTGAATACATTTTTTATGGTTTGTTTTGAGTATTATTAAAGTTACTGTTATAGCAACCCTTTTAAATTTACCTTAGAATTCTAGTGTTGTTTATAGTTATAGGGATGTGGTAGATTTGTATATGTGATTCAGAGTACTGAAGTTTCAGTCACTCTGTTTTGGGAGTCGTTACTTCTGCATTCAGACTTGAACAAAACTGGGATCTGTGGTATCAAATCTCCCTAAAGAAGAACTTAGTGGAAAAGAATAAAAAGTAAACAAGATTGTGGCAGGGAAAGAATCACAGGCCCAAATTACCACCTGCTTTCCAAATATTTAAAAAAAGGTCCAGATGAAAGGTCAGTGTGAGGCAAGGTGCTTACTCCCACCAGATGTGTACTTGCTCTGGCCTTCAGCCGATTAATTATCTCGTAGTTTATGACACTAGGGTCGGTGTTCAGGCAATTGCATTACACCACAGTTCGAGCAATCTGCTGGACCGTCTATTTGAGTATGTTCGGTAAAATAAATAAGGGAGGAGACTCTTTACACACTGGTGGTATGTGAAGGGAAAGAGGAACTGATCGTTATGTTCTCTCAGTTCCTTCATTCAGGTAGATATATTTAATTTAAGATGAAATACAATGGTAAGGCACTCTGGAGGGGGAACCACCCCTTAGTATGCTGCCCTATTTGCTCGAGCCTCTATCATTTCCTGGGTATAGCCAATAGCAATAAAGGAAGTGGTCCCACTGTCACAGAAACAGTTGGCACGGAAACAGCACATTACACCATCATCCAATCCCCCTCCCATTCCTTTGTCGTCATGCCTGCCCTCCCTCCCTCCCTGTGTCCTGCCTCCTCTCTCTGTCCTGCATGTTTTTCACTCATCAATGAAATCACAACCAAACCTGCTGCAGGCCCCGTCATGAAAAATATGACACCCTCAAGAAAGAGACGGCGGTTTCATTTCAGCCAAACTGTTAATGTGCACAGGCTTTCCCTCAACCAGAATCAGAGCTGAAACGAAGATGCTGAAGCCATCAAAGTGTGTTTTCCCCCTCGTCTCTGTCACTCTCATGATTTAATCCTGACCTCTTCTCTCTCACTCTCTCTTTCTCTCCCTCTCTCTGACTCCTCCCTCTGTTTCTGCCCTGCACTCCCTCTCTCTGCCTCTCTGTCTTCAACACACTCAAACACACACCCTCCACCCCCATTGCTGCAGTGTCTCAACTGCCTTGGAGCAAGCAAAAGAGGATACAGAACACAGACGGTTATAAGACAGAGGAAGAGGGCTGCTGAAAGACACACACACACACACACACACACAGAGAGAGAGAGAGAGAGAGAGAGGGAGAGAGAGAGAGAGAGGTGTACTTTTTGTGTGTACTGAATATGAGGACGACAAGAAGATGGAGCAGAAGCACTGAAGGTGGATTGCACTGAGCCTTTTCTCTTCTTGCAAGGCTTGTCTGCAGTATCCTTTTGTAAACGGATGCCAGCTTGAGTTGACGGTAAGCAAAGCTCAATGTGCCATTTTCTCTTATCTACCCCATGGGATCTCACTGTGGCCATTCTGTTGAAGCAAAATAATGAAATGGTTGAAGAGATATTCAGAGATGGCACCAAGGCAGGAAGGCAGGCTGGCTGGCCAATCCCCTCCTCCACCCTCCAAGCTCAGTGCCAATGGACGCTGCTATCTTACATTACAATTTGACTCATAATCTCCCTGCAGCATCTTTGATTCTTATAGAATGCTTTAATAGGGATACAGTGATTAGTTTATATAATATTGTATGTAGGACAAGTGGAGGATGCAGTAAAGATGTGTGCATGTGTGTGCGTGTGTGCGAGGATGTGATCAGTCCAGGCCATAAGCTGTACAAACAGTGGGGTGGGGTGGAGGTGGGGGGTAGGAGGGTAAACCCGCCATCACACAATCAGGTGTTCAGCACAACTGGGCTTTACCAGATAACAAAGGTGCACTATTTTCGAGCTGTTTGGCATAAGATGACAAATTCCAGGCCCTGAAATATCTGCAGGATTTTGCAAGTGCAGCTCGGCGTTTGCTTTTGCAGGGAGTAAAATTTCATCGATGAATAATAATCTCCTCCTAGAACCAGATTCCATGTGGTTTACTTTTGTCCAGCTGTTAATAGACCTACTGTAAATCCTGTGCTTTACAAGAGCTTTGGTGTATTTTATTTTTAGTGGGGGGGGGTTGTGATTTATTGTGTGGCACCAGAAGAACATGTGTGTTTGTGTACACTGTGTGTGCGTGTGTTTGCGTTACACGTTCGAAAAAAAGCAAGAGAGGGTGAAAAAAGAGAGAGCTTGTGCAAGGGAGCGGTTGAGGGGCTGGAGGGGAGGGGGGTAACAGTAGGGAGGCAGATGGGGCAGAGGTTGATGCAGCAGAGAGCAAGAGGGAGAAAAGAAGGAAAGCGAAGATTTGGCACATATTGAAAAGATGAGAAGGCGAGGTAGGAGGGTGTGGGGAGGGGGAGAAAGGTGGAGGATTGGTTGTGATAATTTTAAGGTGATGAAAAGACGGCGTTGCTGAGCATGTGACACAGAAAGAACACGAAATGAGTTGGCGAGAGATCCATCCACCTGAGGCGAACTAAGGCCCCGAGGCATCCATGAATCAAGACAATGATCGAGGAATACACAACCTAATTCAATGAGTCCATCAAATCTGAGATACTGGACACCTGTACAGAGGCTCCTGGGATACTGTTGATTAGGAGAAAACTGGGACTTGACAGGAATATTAATCATCTAGGTAAAATCCATAGGTCTGATTAAAAAAAGAGTCTTGGGACCAAGACTGGCAACCAAAGTATTTTAATGTTCAACAAGGTAAAGCTAGCCATGATGTTACAGTTTAAAGTCATTTTATTGTTGAGATAAAAAGTAAGTGGCGATAAAGCTATTTTTATATTTTTAGCTGTATGGAGAAAAAGAATGTGATGCTGACACTTTTCAAACTTCAGTCATTTTGTACAAAGTTATTAAATTAGCATTTTTTGGCATAAAGTAACTCCGAATGTCACTTTGGATTCAATACTTGGTTAAAAAAGTTAATTGCATGCAAATTCTGCATTCCAATAATGTTTTGGGCATCTTAGATGAACTTTCATTGCCCTTGATACCAAAACTTGACAATTTTTAGTAGCTATGATTATGAAGCTCACAAGCAGTGATGAGGTCATTATGATGTAGTGAAAGAAAACAAAAGGTTACATAAATGTGGGTAAATCAAATTTAATATTGTAGTCACAATTTTAAGGAGCAGTTTTGAAATGAAATGTTTTTTCAGATATTGGAGAACGCTACTACAGAATAATTTCTTCCTTAAAAAAAGGAGAAATTTTGGCTTTTTACCATTGGTGCGATATGGAAACTAAAGGAACCCTGTTTATAATTCTTACCAAAGTAACAATGCTTTGAAACTACATTTGGCAACCTAAAAGGTTTGTATTTGATTAAAGATTTTAGAGAAAATATCTGTCTGGTGCAGATGCTTATTCCTTCAAGGTTTTAGATGGACTAGTCTCAATCTCAAGTAGTCATTTGGCAAAATGCAGGAAAACCCCTATCAGGCTACCAGTTCATCAGGCAACACAGAGAGACACAAAAGACATGTATTTGCACGCTCAATCCTAAGTTTAACTTAGAGATAAGAAAAATAAGTTAACATGGATGTTTTATTACTCTGGGACATTCTATAGAAAACTATAGTAACAGCATGTAGAACCTAAACAGGACTGAAAACCATCACATGTCAATAAGGTAAACCACTGGACCATTGTGAACACCCACAAGTAGATCATGGTATACATTTATTTTTTGAATATTTGTGTTGATATTGTGAGACTAAAAACCATAGCATTTTTACTCAAGGTTATCATAGCATTTAAATCTCACACCAGCCAATGTCTAGTGGAGGCTTTTTATATCAATCTTCCTTGTAGAGAAAACCTACACTGACAGTACAAAGCTTTTGATATCCAAAACACTGTTTGCTTCAGCTGCCAGTGGATCACACAATAAGATCATTTTTGCTTTTGATGCACACTAAATACAATAGCATGTCAGTGCACTTTTGAAGAAAAAAAAAAATACATAACTGAGGTCAAGTATATTATTAATGTAGTCCCCTTCTTGGAAATATTTGCAAAATTAATTCCAAAGGTCATTTTCAGTGCCATCATATAAAGGATGTTGTGGCCACATCAGTTACTGGAATAAACGCACAGTCTGTGGGCTGAAACACAGCAGCCAGAATATACACTGGCCTGTCAATGTTGTCTGTTTAGCATGCAAACAATCTTTTTTGTCCTTGATATTTTTATTGGGCTGCAGGGTGGGGCAGTTTTGTGCACTGTTGCCTTGCAGCAAGAAGGTTCTGGGTTTGATTCCCGGCCCAGGGACCTTTTTGCACGGAGTTTGCATATTTTAACCGAGCATGCTTGGGTTCTCTCCGGGTACTCCGGCTTCCTCTAAATTGTCCTTAGGTGTGTGTGTGCATGGTTGTATGTCTCTGTGTGTCTCTTTGTTGCCCTAGGAAACACTGGCAACCTGTTCAGGGTCCATCGCAGGACAACATCTATAAAGTTATTTTTTTTAATTTAGTGTAAGTTTATAAAAAAGTTGAGCACTCAAAGGCCAACAGCTATTTTGTCAGTTCTTCATTTTCGTTAATTTTACAGTTTTTAAAAATGACTCATAATGGAAATTTTTACTTTCATGTTTTCACTTTCACTTAGCTTTAATTTTTCGTATATATTAGGTACTTTTCTTAGATGAACAAAGTCAGTTTTCCTAGTTAGAATTAGTGTGAGATGCTATGGCATGACCCTGTGGACGCTCAGTTTTATTTTTTTTTTACCTACCGTATTAATGAAAATTGGAGTTTTTCTTTGAAAATGACTTTACTGTTGAGGCGACTCCATTTCAAATCCAACAAACAGTGGAATTGGCTAATTTCCTGCATTTTTTTAACTGCCATTACACTGCCACTAGTACAGAGCAACAAAATAAACTGTCTGCGTTTAAGGCATCCCCTTGGGGAGCAGTGGGCTGCCATTGTAAGACACCGGGGAGCAGTGTGGGGTTAAGGGTCTTTGCCAGAGTGGCAGTCCGTGGGACTAGGGCGTGAACTCATTCCAAGCGCAATGCCCCAACCACTAGGCCGCCACTCTCCAAAGCAGGCATCAGCAGGCATCTTGCCTAATGACCCACACTGGCAGCTCATTTTCCCCAGCTGGGATACAAACCCAGGCCTCCTGTTTGCAGGATGGGTGACCTACCATTTGAGCTAGCCAGCCGCTAATTGCTGTGTTGCTAACTACTTTTAGCGTTAAAACATCGCAAGCACAGTATGTACATATTTTTCATTAATACACATGAATGGAGAAGGTTCATAGCACGTGTTAGCGTGAAGCACTTACGCTACTTTCTAGAGTACTAGAGAGAAATATTAGCTTGTTTTGTAGGTAGTAGCAGCATTTTTTCCAGTGCAGTCTATTGATGAAAGTTGGAGTGCACGCATAAAAATCGTGCATGTCTGGATGTCAGTGTTGTACTCCACTGCAGTGATACATAGAGAACTAAATCCTGGAAGTTCAAGATGATGTAGTGTTATTCAAATTAAATAGATAACAAGATACATTAGTTGAGTGTATTTTTTTTTTTTTACTTATGAAAAAACAACACAAATCTATTTTATACAAGAATGATAACCTAGATTCCTTTCTGCTTATAGATTTTGTATGTCTAGGGGGCTGGAGGGGCCTTGGGCTCTTCAATATATGTAAAGGGACACACTTGCCTGGATGCTACATTGCTAAAATCTGCTAAATAGGGGTTTATCTGAGTGTACTTTAGGCTTTTACTCTGGTAATTTATTTCTCTACAAAATTAAAGTGAAATCACATTTTCTACAGGTCTAACAGCATTTTACAATAATAACTTAACGTAAACTAATACCAAGCAAACAATTAATAAAAAAAAAAAACTCTACTGGCAGCTCCATGTCAACTGTACAAAAAATGACAGATGGATGACAATAACAATAACAATAATAATAATAATAATAATAATAATGATAATAATAATAATAATAATAATAATAATAATAATAATAATAATAATAATAATAATAATAATAATAATAATAATAATAATAAAATAACTTTACACAAAAGGTAATGATCTTTGGGAATTTGATTCCTTTTTTGCAACAATGTTTCTTGGCAGTAAATCGTAAACCCTTTGAAATCCCCCTGCAGCATTTGAGAAAATTGCAATCATATACTGAGCAGCAGAGTTGAATATGCATCGAGCTTATGAAAACATGCTAGCTCCTTTCCATCAATACCAAAATGGTTTTGGTGCAGGCAGGTTCAAGGTTTGGGATTGCATCTTCTTTACTGGATAAAGGCAAGGCGCATCATGTGTGTAACCAATCTTTGGGTAGAAAGAATAGAAAAAAAAAATAAGATCCAGCAAA